AGAGTGTATGTAGCTACTATGGGACTTGGAGATTGTTTGTCGTGTTCTTGAAATGCCTCACAACATTAATTTTGTTGTCTTTCTAGTCTACTTAATGGCTCTTCTGTCTTTCAATATAGTACCGTAATGCCAGCAACCCCCTGACGCACTATGACACCACAGCTGAAGAGATCCTGCAACAGTGTGAAGGTATGTTTGCTCTACTACTACCCCCCTCTTCCATGAGTCCCTAGTATTCTCTTATTGTTAGGTACTTGGAGAATGGGACCTGAGGTGGTTGAGAAATGCATGGATTTTGATACAGCAAATCCCGTACATATGCTGTGTGTCATTAGAGAATTACTTTTTTTCAGTAGTTGCAGTAATTAATTTTGTTTCCCCATTAAAGAGGAGTGCTTTGGTTTTTAGATTCCTCTGCTTGTAACCAGGTGGAAAAAGCAGTGATGCTTAAGTTATCTTTAAAAAAAAAAAAAAAAAAGCCATAGCTAGAGTGGCATGAAAGAACAGTGTCACTTTCTCTGATCACAAATACAGAATCATAGAATCACAGAATCATTTAGGTTGGAAAAGACCTTTAAGATCATTGAGTCCAACCACAAACCTAGCACTGCCAAGTCCACCACTAAACTGTGTACCTAAGTGCCACATCTGCACATCTTTTAAATACCTCCAGGGATGGTGACTCAACCACTTCTCCCTGGGCAGCCTGTTCCAATGCTTGATAACCCTTTCGGTGAAGAAATTTTTCCTAATATCCAATCTAAATCTCCCCTGGTGCAACTTGAGGCCATTTCCTCTCATCCGTTTCCCCATTAAAGAGGAGTGCTTTGGTTTTTAGATTCCTCTGCTTGTAACCAGGGGGAAAAAGCAGTGATGCTTAAGTTATCTTTAAAAAAAAAAAAAAAAAAAGCCATAGCTAGAGTGGCATGAAAGAACAGTGTCACTTTCTCTGATCACAAATACAGAATCATAGAATCACAGAATCATTTAGGTTGGAAAAGACCTTTAAGATCATTGAGTCCAACCACAAACCTAGCACTGCCAAGTCCACCACTAAACTGTGTACCTAAGTGCCACATCTGCACATCTTTTAAATACCTCCAGGGATGGTGACTCAACCACTTCTCCCTGGGCAGCCTGTTCCAATGCTTGATAACCCTTTCGGTGAAGAAATTTTTCCTAATATCCAATCTAAATCTCCCCTGGTGCAACTTGAGGCCATTTCCTCTCATCCTATCGCTTGTTACTTGGGAGAAGAGACCGACACCCACCTTGATACAACCTCTTTTCAGGTAGTTGTAGAGAGTGAGAAGGTCTCCCCTCAGCCTCCTTTTCTCCAGGCTAAACAACCCCAGTTCCCTCAGCCACTCCTTATGAGACCTGTGCTCCAGACCCTTCACCAGCTTCGTTGCTCTTTGGACTCGCTCCAGCACCTCAATGTCTTTCTTGTAGCGAGGGGCCCAAAACCGAACACAGTATTCAAGGTGCAGCCTCACCAGTGCTGAGTGCAGGGGGACGATCACTTCCCTAGTCCTGCTGGCCACACTGTTTCTGATACAAGCCAGGATGCTGTTGGCCGCCTTGGCCACACTGCCGGCTTGTATTCAGCCATCTGTCGACCAACACCCCCAGGTCCTTTTCAGCCAGGCAGCTTTCCAGCCACTCTTCCCCAAGCCTGTAGCATTGCATGGGGTTGTTGTGACCCAGGTGCAGGACCCAGCACTTAGGTATTTTTACATTCTCAGACCAAATGCTCCGTTACGCTGGAAGCTGCTTCACTTAGGAGTCCTCAGGAGTACAGACTGTGTTGCAGTTGTTACCAGTAAGACCTGTTTAGTCTGCTTTCATGTTAGCTCTAGGCAGCTAGGTTGGAGTTCCAGAAGTGATTGAGCTGTGGCAGCAGAGAGCTTTAGCTGGGCTAACTCACCCAGTGGAGGAATTGGTTTGAGAGCTATTAGAAGCATTCAGTGTGATGCTGCAGCCTACCACGTAGGCATTTGCCATAGGTGGTAGAAGGAAGTCTTATAGGGCACTACTGACCTGCCTTATAAGACAGTACACTTTCTAATGGGACCCTCTAATAAGAAAATCAGCTATTAAATTCCTTCTCATTAAGGTGAGGACCATGTGAAAGGTTCTTCTCCCCCTCCCCCCAAAATAACTCTAGCTGTTCAGAGGATTTGGCTTGTCTTTCTGTGTCAAACTTTAAGTCTGAGTTAAAATGAGTATACTTTAATAAACTGCCATCCCACAGACTGATACTAGATGACTTCTAGCTTTAGGCTTCTTGTTTGTCTTTACTTTTACTCATAGGCCAGTCACTGTTCAGTTATTACTGAGCTTATACCTTTGCTTGGCAGGGTGTTATTCTTTTGACTGGTAAGCATTTGGTTTTGTGTGTGAATTGGTGTGTGTATTTTTTTATTAACAAAGCTATCATGTGGATGCACCATGGAAACTGTAGGGCGTGACAGAAGACTGAACTATCACACCTGTACTCACTCTGAGTGCTCATGACCAAAGCAGTATTTTTCACATGAAAATGTGAGAGTAGTTGTAGTAACAGTTCTCTCAATGGGTACCTATCCCATGCTCTTGGCACTCATTCAGTAAATGAACTAATGTAATGGGCTGCTCATTCTAAGTTCAAGAATTAATTATCTGTATCAGCAAATACAGTAACAGGAAAACTACAGGTGTCAGCTGTGTGAGCCACCTCCAGCTCTGTCCAAAGTACCACAAATTGGTGCCTTGCCAGGCCACTGGATGGACATTTCAAAACCATTGTTGAAGTAAATGGGGACTGAGAAAGGTGTCCTCAAAGTAGGTCTCATAACACAGCTCTTGGGAAGCAAAGAGCCTTATCTTGCCCATTTTTGTTAAAGAAAGTCCATACTTAGGTTTAAGTGGGTTTTTAATCCATTATTGTGGGGGAGATTTCACAACTGCCTTTTATCCTTTGCCTTTAAACAGGAAAAATAGACATGCTGGTGGCTACGGCTGGCACAGGAGGTACTATCACTGGCATCTCCAGAAAGCTAAAGGAGAAGTGTCCAGGTTGCAAAGTAAGTGGCAAGCCTAAAGCATTTCTCTTTAGTGGGGTGAACCTCAAAACTGGTCCACTTGGCACGTCCCATTCCTTGCAAGCCTGCCCTGGGTCTCTACGGGAATGTTCTTGGATGTTCTCGGTTAGAAGGTAGTTCTGAGCAGCAAAGAAAGGTTTTCAGACTGTCTGAAATCATTGTGCTCTGGTCTCACTGGTGACCAGAGTTCAGGTTTGGCTCAGCAGATGAAAACTGGCCCTCAGATCTCTTCATGGGGTGTCTGAGAAACTTCGTTCTCTGGTGTGTACTGCAGCCTTCTGTTTGTTTCCTCTCTGACTGTGCCTTCACTAATGTGTCTGGAGCTGCTGAGTTTTTACCATGTGAAATTTTCTCTGCACACATGAATCTGTGTGTCTACCTATGTGCCGTGTTAGGTTTCCTCACAGAAGTTGGTATTGTGTTTCAATCGTGAATATTTTCCTATATAGGCAGGGAGTGGTAAACAAAATAAAACTTACCTGCTTACACTTGGCACAAAATGCATTGGCTGTAATGGTGCCTGACATGTCAACGAGGACAATCTTGTCTCCGGGAAACCCTGTCTTCTGTTTAAACCAAGCAAAAGCCATGTAAAACAAGTGGTGCCCCTCCCTTAGTGTCCACAGCCTGAGGAGACAGGATGGGCTGCCAAGGGGCCAGAAGCAGCAAAACATTTTGGTCACAGGGGAGGTGAATGTTGCCAGGAAGAAATGAATAGGAGACTAGGTTGCTGTTAGCTCGGCTGTGTGTGCAGCCAGCGTGACACCAACAGCTGTAATGAGGCCAGCGCTCATGAGTAGATAGCTGTGTTCTCAAAAGCAGTGTGTCACAGTAGCCAAAGTGGAAACTGCTTCTCTAGATTATAGGTGTTGATCCTGAAGGCTCCATCCTTGCTACACCAGAAGAACTGAACAAGACTGACAAGACAATGTATGAAGTGGAAGGAATCGGATATGATTTTGTCCCGACAGTGTTGGATAGATCTGTAAGTCATGCTTTTTGGTTTAGTGCCCTTTGCCCTCTGTTGGGATGCAGAAGTGAAGTGAAAGGTGGAGAAAAAATTGTGGAAGTATTTCTTTGAGCTATAAGGGGAGAGCTAGCAGACAGAACTATTCCTGTTCTTTTCATCAGCAAAAGCAGTCCTCGGAAGGCTTCTGCACTGGCCACATTTATTTTAGGTGGAATGCTAGGTGGAAATGCTGGGAGCAGATAACATTTTTCCTTTTTTTTTTTTTTTTTTAAAAACCAACCAACCAATCAAAAAAAAAAACCAAAACCCCAACAAAGCACCCCCAACCCCTCCAGCCAAAACTGGCATGACTGTGTCCTGAGCAGAGCCTGTGTCCCTGGGAAGCCCTCCAAGAGGGGAGGAAACTGTTTGATGCTCCCTGTAGCTGTCTCACAACAGCCTGCTCTCACAGCGAGGTTTCAATAAGGAGCCTATTGTGCTAATGTGATCATCTTACCTTGGCAAAAAAACCCCACTTGGCATTTGGAGGATGGAAACCCAGGCATGTGGCTCAGTAGGGCAGCTGTTACCTCAAAGAGCATGGGTTGAATTCACACTAGTTGTGGAGCTCCCCTAGCCCTCCTAATTTAAATAGACCCTTGTTTCTGTCTTCCTGCCCCTTCCCAGGCAGTGGACCAGTGGTACAAGAGCAATGATGAAGAGTCGTTTGCTTTAGCGCGCATGCTGATTCGAGAGGAAGGACTGCTGTGTGGTAAGAGCAGATGTGAACCCTTTGGGTTTCTCCGAATAGTATGTGGGAGGCTGAAGCCTTGTGCAGGTCAGGGAGACCTCCCTCCACTTCAGAAGCTGTCTTCCTCACCCTGGGCTCCTCTACTCTCTCTCCTCTCCTTCATTCTTTCTCATTTCACTTATGGTTTGACAGTTTTGCCTCTGATCTGCATTTTGGCAGGTGGCAGCTCAGGCAGTGCCATGTCTGTAGCTGTGAAGGCTGCCAAAGAGCTGAAGGAAGGTCAGCGCTGTGTTGTTATCCTCCCTGACTCTGTCAGGAACTACATGTAAGAACCTGCTTGTTTTCTCCCTGGGAAAAGGATGAGGCAGTCCCTCAGACCTCCTTACAGCAGTTGAATACATATTTCTTCTAGCACCCAGTTACCAAAGGAAGGAATGTGTTTGGGACACAACATCTGAGGTATCTCAGAACTCCAGCTTCTGTTGGAGCGGGTCCAGAGGAGGGCCACAAAAATGATCCGAGGGCTGGAGCACCTCTCCTATGAGGACAGGCTGAGAGAGTTGGGGTTGTTCAGCCTGGAGAAGAGAAGGCTGCAGGGAGACCTTATTGCAGCCTTTCAGTACTTAAAGGGGGCCTACAGGAAAGATGGGGAGAATCTTTTTAGCAAGGCCTGTTGTGACAGGACAAGGAATAATGGATTTAAACTAAAGAAGAATAGATTTAGACTAGACATAAGAAAGAAATTTTTTACAATGAGGGTGGTCAAGCACTGGAAGGGGTTGCCCAGAGAGGTAGTGGAGGCCCCATCCCTGGAAAGATTCAAGGTCAGGTTGGATGGGGCTCTGGGCGACCTGATCTGGTTAAAGCTGTCCCTGCTCACTGCAGGGGGGTTGGGCTAGATGACCTCTAAAGGTCCCTTCCAACCCAAAGCATTCTATGATTCTATCTAGAAAGGGTCTGACATGGAGTAGAAAGGAGCTTAGCCCTCTGAAAGCTGAGCTCCTCCTTTTGTCTGACTTCAGTATATAGCCATCACTGGTTAGCATCTTTCGCAGGAAGAGGCTTGCTTTCGCTGTTTTATTTATTGGGGACCGTTGGTATTATCCCATTCCTGGAAGGGTCCCTGTAAGGCTGTCCGCTCTCTCTGTCTGTGTCCACAGCAGAACACAGCACTAATGTAGCAGCAGCCAGTGTTGGCGTGAGTTTATGGTGGAAGCACAAGGGCTTTGAGCTGTGCTGAGAAGTTGTTTCTCTCCTACCACATTGAAACATATCCCAAAACATGATGTTTTTAGCTGTGTTTCGTGACTTCCGTTGCATCCAACACAATATTAGACGACTAGAAATTGCAGACAGACCTTGTCTGAGTACAGGTTGGCACTTCTCCGTTCCAGGCTGCGTCTCTATCGTATTGCAAGGGACTGATGTAATTGAAGTTTCATTTCCTATGGGATTCCTTTTTCTTCCTATGAATATTTCTTCTCAATGTCCCTGGCTGGTAAGCTTGGATGGCAAATGGCAGTATATTTTCAATTACGCTTTAGTTGTTAGTTGTAGTGAGCTGTAAACAGATGCCTCTGTGTGCTGCTAGGTTTGCTGTCAGATGTTCAGCCTGCTAATGAGCTTTCACTTCCTGATGCTTTCCAGGTCCAAGTTCTTGAGCGACAAATGGATGATTCAGAAAGGGTTCATGAAAGAAGAAGACCTTGTCAAAAAACCTTGGTAAGCATGTCAGATCCATTCGGGTTTTCATAAGTCTATTCAGTTGTCTTTATGGCAGTTGCTAATTTAAAACTCATTTCAATTTGCACTACTTCCTTTGATTTAGCTAATCTTTCATGCTATTGTGTTGATGTGTAATTGTAGCTATTAATCAAATCTGCTTAAATTAGTTGATTTCCTTCTTTGAGTTGCATAGCAGCAGAAGAAAACTTGGTACTTATGATTTTTTTTTTCTTTTTTGTGAAAAGGGTTGTATCTGAAATGAAAAACTATTATCTAAAGAGCCCTTCCAAGGTCAGAGTTCTTGAGTGCAAAGCCCTGCAAGTCTACATAGCTGGAGGGGGATCTTCCCTAAATTGCTACCTATAATGACTGTAAATATAGCTAGCTCTTTTGGTATGAGCTCAAAATTTTTTGTGTAAGGTATAAATAATAAAACTAGGGAGGTTAGTACTCTCCGCTAACTATCTGTAATCCTCGAAAGTAGATGAAATGAGGAAAAGAGTTTTGGTCTTAAAGCCTTCTCACACTTCAGTGACTTTCTGATATTAGGGAGAAAACTTGAAAGCCTTGAAGCTTTACTGGCTCTGGCTGAATCCTGACTGTTTCTTGCAGCCTTTTGTCATTCGTGTAGTGTTGAAGGCCACTGTACATGAGCAACTGGTTCCGTTCTCTGTGTAAGACTTGCATGGGCTTGTTTTTTATTTCATCCCCAGGTGGTGGAACATCAGTGTTCAGGAACTAAGCCTCTCTGCTCCCCTTACTGTGCTTCCAACTGTTACCTGTGCAAAGACTGTTGAAATTCTCCGGGAGAAGGGATTCGACCAGGTACCAGTTGTTGATGAATCTGGGTATGTCCACATATATCACTACTCATCCATATATGTATCACTTCCCTCACCAGGTCCCAAGGGATGTCTTTAGATGCTTCCTAGAAGTACAATTATCTTCTCGCTCATCTTTCTTCAGTTATAGTAACACAGTTCAGAAATGTTACCTTAAAGACACCAGTGCTGGACTTAATATGTTGTTATGCCAGGACTGTCCTGTCCTTCACATAATAAGCTTGTAATGATTATTATGCTATACTTACTCAGTGTGTCTCTGCAGGATAATTTCATTGTTTTTTATAATAGCCGTTTTAACTTAGCAAAAATTCATATTTAAAACAAACAACCCCAAACCTACCCATCTCCACCACAGCTTTCACCCAGTTTCTTCAGAACACTGCATTGTAGTGCAATGTTGTAGTGGCCCCTATAAACCAGGGTGTCCTCAGCAAGCTGGTATGCCTTGTTACTTCATAGGTCTCCTGTAGGACAGGCTGAATAATGAAGGGTTGCTCAGTTACTCTCCAGCTACACTGCTAACTCAAGGGATTAATTGTTGCAGGACCTCGCAACATCCTTGCAGGGAGAAGGGGAATGAGCAAAATTGAGGCGAGCATGTCTCTGGCCCTGTCACCCCTTTCAAAGGGACAGATGAGGGTGTAAAACAATGAAGTTGTGCTTTTCAAAAGCTCGCTCAGGTTGCAAGAAGCTCTCCAGTTGCAAGGACTAAAGATACAGATTCTGATGCTCAGAAGGGCCGGGCACCCACAGCACCTGCTGACTTCCGTGTGAGTCTCCAGAACTCCTGAAAACTGGACTCTGTCTCCTGCAGAGACACAGAATCCAAATATAACATCAATAATGTTGCTTTATACCATGAAGCAGTTGAACTGACTTCTCCAGGCTGGCTGAGAGTGGATGCTTTTATCTACAGGAACACCTGAGGCTTTTGTGTTGTTGTCGTGGTTTAGTCCCAGCCAGCAACTCAGTACCACG